AGTCTGTCATTTTGTCTGTACGAAGATGACTGATGTTCAGCACCACTGTGCACCTGTGCAGAATCTGTCATAAACCCACAGATCATGTAAGGATTCATTAACCTCAGCTTCCCCCAAGGAGTGGGTGCCATAGACAGGTGCCACTCTCTGATTGTGTCACCCTTGGGGCAGAGGAATGAGTTTGTCAACCGAAAAGACACCTACTCTGTTGTCTTCCACAAAACATGTCCCACAAAAATCAAGGGGGAGGGGAGAAGTATATGCAAGGGAAGTTTGTGTGGACAGACTGGATACATTCAGCTTGTGGTCATGCAAGGGACATACAGTCAAATGTAACTCCAGGAGCCCCCCCCCCAGTAATGCCAGGAAGTGGTGTGCAGGTCTTATGTATACCTGCACACCTGCATAGAAGAGGTTACAAAAGCCTCTTTTGTGCAAACTACTGTGCATGCTGACAGCAAGCGTACATGCAATGGAATGCATTTATTGTCATAACAGAGAACAGTTGCTAGGGCACATGCATAGGGTTAGGGTTAGGGTTCTAATATTCAAGCGCACCTGCAGTGGTGCATTCACACCTGGAAGCATAGGGCACTTTAAATTAAATCTGCATTGTAGGGCTCATGCTCTGGATCGCTGACTCAATTTCCTGTGCACATGTGGCAGTGCATTTATACGGCCGTTTTAAATCTCCAGCATTCTTTTTCTGATGCACCGGTGTCACTGCATACATACTCACATGCAAAAGTGTGCTTCTTTCCAGAAGAAGAAGAAGAAAAAAGCTGCTCCTTTTTGGAGAGGCTTTTCCCAGTATGCAGTGCCTAGAGGGTGCTTTCCTACTGGCTTTTAGGTGTGCGTTATCTAAACACCACGCCTCCAAGTCATCTCTTTTTGCCTGTCTGTACAGCTTCTTAGTAGTTGCAATCAAATGCTTTTGATGTTTGTGTGTATAGTTCCCACTGACCAACTAAATGTATGTTATGACCAAGGCAACCCATATATTTCATTGTGGCTTTAGTTCAACTAGATCTGGTTCCTGCACAGAATTAGGTGTGCTTAGCTAAAGCAGATACAACATGAATGAGTTTCAGCATGCCTATGTTAGATTGGTGGTTACAGATACTAACAGTTGTAATATTACTTTCCACAATCAATTAAAATAAATAATAAAAATACAAGACAATGGTAGAGTAATTCTAGAGCTATATATGGGAGAATGCAGTAAGACCTATTTTTGAAGTTAAATGTGTGTGTATTCTTTTGTGAAAAAGGAGGGATGAGGTACATGGGATAATCTCCATAGCCTAAAAACTTGTAGCACCTTCACTGTATTCAGGACTGGTGTCCAGTGACTCATATGTAATGTCGACATTTGGAAGCATTTTGCAGTTATTAACAACTGGGGAGTGGACTCGCCTTCTTTGGAGGTCTTTAAGAAAGGGTTGGATGGGCATTTTTCAAGAGTGTTTAGGAGTTGTGTGTTCCTTCATGGCAGGGGGCTGTACAAGGTGACCCTTGCAGCTCCTTTAAACTCTATACTGGAGTGGGTGCAGTAGACAGATTGTGCCACCCTTGCGGTGAAGGAATGGGTTTGTCCACTGAAAAGACCCCTTCTCCATCATCCCCCACAAAACATGTGTGGACAGACTTGATACATGAAGCTAGTAATCATGAAAGGGACATGGTCAACAGGACACACAGACAAATATTACTCCAGGAGCCGCCCCCCCATCATGCCAGGAAGTGTTTATGCACACACAGACAAATATTACTCCCCCCATCATGCCAGGTCTTATGGTGTGCAGGTCTTATGCACAAACAGGCGACAAAAGCCTCTTTCATGCAAACTACTGTGCATGCTGACAGTAAGCATACATCCAACAAAATGCATTTATTGTCATAACAGAAGACAGTTGCTAGGGCACATGCGTAGGGTTACAATTAGGGTTAGGGTTAGGGTTCTAATATTCAAGTGCGTCTGCGCCAGTTCATCTACACTTGGAAGCATAAGGCGCTTTAAATTAAAGCTTGCATCATAGGGTGCATGCTCTGGATCACCAA